GATATCTTGAACATGGGACCCAGGTCTAAACATATATACCTCTTGCACATAATATACATAAGGTAATTTTATACAATATTTTAAATAATTTTGTGCATGAAATAAAGTTTGTGTATATTGAACCATCAGAACGCAAAAATGTCACTCTCTTGGCCACCCATGAAAAAAAGTTTCATGTTTTACTAGTTTAATTATATTTTTGTATGTTTTTAATTGTACTGTTCTAATTTGTAAGCCACTCAGTGGTAGGAGTAATAGTACTTAGTATATTACTTCGTAGTAGTAGTAGTAGTAGTATTGGGATATTTTGGATTTGGGGATGCAATGGAAAGATTGCAGAGAAGGGGTCCAGCCTTTGGGACATCCGCCATTTTGGAGCAGCCGCCAAGAAGGCCTTCTCCCGTTTCCTTTCCAGGTGGGTCTGAGAGAGTGGTGGGTCCCAGGCATTATTTTATCCTCCCGTATTAAGGACTGCCGTTCTTCCTGCCAGCAGCCAAGGAGATTGCTTATGAAACCAGGGCACAGAGTCAACTGACTTTTCCATGTTGCAAAAGCCTAGGACCCGTGGTCTAGCAACAAACAGGTCCCAACGCATTTGGAGAGCTGAGGCATGCAAGAGCAATTAATTCTCTCATCTCTGCCCCTGTTGCCCTCCTCTCTTTCGAGGGCTCTGCCAAGGCACCACCCAGCTCTCTACACACAAGGCAGGAGCACTAAATCAAAGGAACTAAAGCAGAGACGCTAAACAGAGCAACCCAAGCAGTTTGGACAAGGCAACCCAAAACGGTCTCTTTCCACGGCCAAATTTCTCCAAACATATTCAACAGAAGAGGAAAGAAAGAAGGTGTCTCAATGCTTCTATGGCCAAATTTCTCCAAACGTATTCAACAGAAAAGGAAAGAAGGTGTCTCAATGCTTCCATGGCCAAAATTCTCCAAACATATTCAAATAGAAGAAAGAAGGTGTCTCAATGCCTCCATGGCCAAATTTCTCCAAACATATTCAACAGGAAAGGAAAAAAGAGGTGTCTCAATGCCCCTTTAAGTTTAACTCATTTATTTCAGCACCCAACAAACACGTCTTTCTGGCTTCCATTTGAAAAGCAACAGCAGCAACATAAAATGCAAGGACTGATATCCTTCCAAAGCAGATGGAGGTGTTCAAGAGGAAAGATTTTGCCACCGCAATGACCTCTGAGGTCAGCCATAAGACTTAGTAAAGGACTTTTGTCCTCATCCAGAAACCAAAGGGGGTCAGCAGAAGAGACAGATCCATTTTGATTTCTTCTCTAAACCACAAGATGGGAGTGATGATCCTGGTTGCATCTGCACTGCATAAATAATGCAGTTTGACACTGCTTTAACTGCCATGGCTCAATGCTATGGAATCCTGGGATTTGTAGTTTGTGGCCCCAGCATCTCCCTCTGTTCATAACATAAAAGATACTCCAACTAAACATTAGGAAGCACTTCTCCACTCAGCTGCTTGACCTCCTTAATGTGTACAGTTTTTAAGAGCTTTTGTCTTTTTAACTGCGTTCTATTTTTAAACAATCAATCTGTTTTCATTCTGCAACAGTTTAATTCTATTTCAATTGTCACTTTTGGAAGTTTTTAACTGAATTTTTGCAAGCTTTTAAGTGTATGTTTTTAGACTGTAAGCTGCTTTGGGACCCAATTTTTTTTTTTTTGGAGGGGTGAAAGTAGGCTACAAATTGATATAATAAATAAATATATACATGAATTCTTTGGAGGTCTTTAAACAGAGTTGGATGGGTGCCTCTTGAGAGGGCTTTAGTTGTGTATTCCTTCCTTGCAAGGGGTTGGACTATATGACTTCTGGGGTCCCTTCCGACTCTAAGACCCTATAATTCTACTTCTGTACCTACCCAAAACAGATGTGTGCAGAGGTGGCTGGCAGGAATCCAGGAAGGAATTAAATCAGGAAGGAAACAAATCCTTTGTGGCTTTTAATTCAAACTTTGAAGGAGCTATCCAAAGTGCTGAATTTATTGCAAGGACAGTGTCCAGCATTCTTGCATAACTCCTTTAAAGTCTGGACTAAAAGCCACAGCGGATTCATACCCATTCCCTGCTTATACACAAGTTACAATCCTTTGTCTGTGTGCATGTGTGAGAGAGAGACAGTTCCGCCGCCAGCAGCAAATTCCTCCAAAAGCAATCGGATTTGCTTAAGAACAACCAACAACAAATCATGCAAGCTGCCCTTCTGAATTTTGAAAGGTTTATTTGGCTTCTTTAGGGCTGGAAAGCAAACAGGGACACTGGAGGGAGATGCAAATGTGGATTTCGCTTGAACAGGCCCACGCTTGCACTCCAGCTCTACAGATTATTATTTTTTAATTCATTCATTTATTTTATCTCATTTATATCCCAACTTTCTCCCAATATGAGGCCAAAAGTGAACTGTTTGTGAATAGGAGAGAGGGATGGTTGAAAAACTAAGACGCAATAAGTTGAAAGCAAACTTTTCCCCCTTCAAGGTTGCTTTGGCCACTAAAGGTAATTATAAATCTTGCTTTAAAAGCTTGGAAATTCAGAAGCATGAATGCCAACCTCAAAGCCAGCATTTAAGGGCTTCTGTAACCAAGTTTAGTTGGACTTTCTGAAGGACTTTCAAACCATGCACATTTTCCTATCTTTAATTTACAGCAATCATTCAGAGTAGTTATTCCTATTTTAAAGCCATAAGCTCCTGGGGCTTTCCTGCTGTTCTCAGCTTGTGCAAACGTCAAATGTTCTCACACAAGTTCAGATTCACAAAGCAAATACCCCAGGACTCAGTCTTAAAAACCCACCATCTTCCCTAAAAGATTAATACAAGGTTCACCTGCTTTGCCTAGAAGCTTCCTTGGGCAGCATCCGCACTGCAGAAATAATCCAGTTTGATACTACTTTAACTGCCATGGCTCCATGCTATGGGATCCTGGGATTTGTAGTTTGTTGGGGCACCAGAGCTCTCTTGACAGAGAAAGCTAAATGTCTCACAAACCCAGAAATCCTAGGATCCCATAGCATGGAGCCATGGCAGTTAGAGCGGTTTCAAACTGCATTATTTCTGCAGTGCAGACGCAGCCTTAGAAGCCTATAACTCCTTCAGGGTTTGTCACAGGAAGCTGTAAAAATGGCAGGAATGTGCTAAACCACTAGTGCTGCACGAAAATACAACCAGCCTTCAAATTTGTTTCTTTTTCCATTAACCAGCCATTGAAAAGGCTCCACAATTCTTCCCTTTCTCGCCTTTTTCCATGGAGAAGCACCTCTGGTTTGCAACCTTCTGCCTCTTTTCCTCCACATCTAAACCCTCCTCCTCACTTGGTGCATGATAAACCACTGTCAGGACACGTCCCTACAGGGCACCCGCTTTGGAAAATGGATTAAATAAATCCAAGGAGGAAGCATTGGTTTAACCAAATCTGCTGGGCATCAATCTGGAAAGGAAAAGTTGAAGAACTGTGGCCTAGAAACAAGCAGCCATAGATAGAGGACATGCTCACCAACCAACCCTCCCATCTTCCCTTTTAAAAATTCGTTTATTTCCTTGCATGTTTTATTCCCAACATCCAGGTGTGGAGACAGAGGGACCCGGGAGGCAAGGAAACCTGGCCAAGGCCTCCAAAGCAGATCAGCGTGTCAAAAAGGCTTCATGGCCTCGGTATCATCATTGCAAGGAGGAACAAAGCGTTCAGCCGGCGACAGATGGAGATGGAGATGGAGGGGACCCTTCTCAAAACAAAGGATATGGAGGAGGAGGAATGGGGGGTTGTCTCTTGTCTCGGCCATGAACTCACTAAGGTTGGGGGGCAATTGGGGGAGAGAGAAACACAAGATGTTCTTCTGCAGAGAGAGCCCTTTTTATGGGCAGGTTTCCTTTTACAGACCCCAGATTAGCTGCCTTTGATGCAGAGGAAGCCTGGGACGGAGGGACTTTTTAACCCTTTCCACTTGGGGCACCTTCGCTACTACTGAATATCCCCATTTCACTCCATCCTAAGATGCTTCAGTACCTGGGACCCATTCATACCACACAGCTTCTTCTTCTTCTTGTTGTTGTTGTTGTTTGTTGTTGTGTGCTTTCAAGTCATTCCTTACTTATGGAGACCCTAGAGATTCCCAAACTTTGATCCTCCAGGTATTTGGGACTTCATCTCCCAGGATTGGCTATGGTGACTGGAGCCTCTGGGAGTTGAAGTTCAAAATACCTGGAGAACCAAAGTTTGGGAATCTCTGCCCTAAGGTGACCCTATCATGGGGTTTTCTGGGGCTGAGAGGGTGTGACTTGCTCAAGGTCACCCAGCAGGTTTCCATGGCCATGCGGAGACTCGAACCCCAGTCTCCAGAGTCTTAGTCCTACATGCAAACCATTACACCTTGCCGGCTCTTACAGACATCATAGAGTTGGAAGAGACCCCCAAGGGTCATCCGGTCCAACCCAATTCTGCCATGCAAGAATACCAATCAAAGCATTGCCAACAGATGACCATCCAGCCTCTGTTTAAAAACCTCCATAAAAGCAGACTCCATCTTTGGAAGTGTAATTCCACTTTAACTGCTGTTACTTTGTCTGATAATCCCAAATGCCCCTCCATAAACTACCAATCCCAGATTCCAAAGGATGCTGCCGGTAGAACCATTAGACGGATTATCGTAATGTACTAAAATCAGTGGTTCCCAAACCTTGAGTCCTCCATTTATTTTGGACTTCAGCTCCCAGAAGCCCCAGCCAAACTGGCCCAATGGTCAGGAATGATGGGAGCTGAAGTCCAAATTGTCTGGAGGACCAAAGGTTGGGAATGGCTGCTCCAGATGCTCAAAGAAAAGAAATATCCATCCAGGCCCATGCCATTTTCTCTCTCTCTCTTGAATATTAAGAAAGGGTGCAACAGGAAGAATTTCAACCTGTAACTTTGTTTTTAGACCTGCAGTTGTCGTCAGTGTTGTTGCTGTTATTATTATTATTATTATTATTATTATTATTATTATTATTATAGTGCTATGCATCTCCTGTACAGGACTGGGCTGCCATTCTTAATGCGTTGCTCTTGTGTTGCATTCATGTGCATCACAAAGGAGCCAGGAATGCAGCTTGACACCACTTGAATTGCCATGGCTCCATCCTATGCAAATCCTGGGATTTGTAGTTTGCTGTGGCATCAGAGCTCTCTGGCTGAGAAGGCTAAACCTCTCACAAAACCACAAAGCCCAGAATCCCATAGCATTGAGCCATGGCAGTTAAAACGGGGCCAAACTGCATTAATTCTGCAGTGTAGATGAAAATTAAATTAGTGTCTGTAGGAGGATTGATTATTTTTTATTTTTTAAATTTCGTACTATAAATGGTCTTTAGTCGTGTTTGTCTTAATTTGACCCTGAGTTCCAATAGCCAGAGAAATTTAATTATTCATAAGAAATAATAATTATTAATAAAAAAATAATAACAACAAATTCATTTTTGAAAATCAAAATCTGGATGGGGGATTCTTTTAACTGTTTTAGCTGGAAGCCGCCTTGATTGCCACAGCAAAAGGCAGGGTATAAATAAATTATTTATTATTATTATTATTATTATTATTATTATTATTATCTGTGTGCTTGTGGTTGATTTTATTTAATTTCCATTTCAATAACTCAACAGCAGTTGTAACAATCAATTGCATCATGGTGTTGTTGTTGTTGTGTTCCTACAAGTCGTTTCTGACTTATGGTCACAGGGTTTTCTTGCAAAGATTTGTTCAGAGGCAAACTGCCATTGCCTTCCCCTGAGGCTGAGAGAGTGTGACTTGCACACCTAAGGAAAAAAACATAGAATGATAAAGCTTTTTGAAAGTATCCAAAATGTTTTTATTTTAAATTTTAAATATTCATTCTACTCTATTTATTTTTACATATTCAGTTTTATTTTTAAAGTCTGTTTAAGTGCCGTGCATCAGCTCAGGAGACCTTTCTGGCGGAGAGGTGACCAAAAATAAAATACTTTGCATGAATAAATAATGGGGACGATGGGATCCAGATTTTGCATGGGGTCAAAGGTCATCAATGCTCCCCTTGAACTGAACCCAGAACCAAAGCCATAATGGACCAGGTGTAACGTGTGCTCGTTGTTGTTGTCATTGTCGTTGTGTGTCTTCAAGTCATTTGCAACTTATGGCAAAACCATTTCTGAGTGACTCTTGGTCGCCTTAGAAAAACTGGCAAAATCCATGGGATCTCCATAAATCGACCCGAAGGCACATAAATGCACACCCACACCCACACACACAGCCAAGTACCCCTACAAGTAGAGGATAGGGCTGTGGCCTGAGTTTGTGTGTTGTTGCTGTTGTGTTTTTTAACAGCCTCTTAAATCAAGGGCGACCTTACCTACCTAAAGCACATCGCAGAACGCAATGTTTTCCAGCCTGCGGCAAAAGTACGCATGAGCGAATTCAGAAAGATAATCTGCTTCCTGGCTCCTTCACATACACTTACACAAACACACACACACACACACACACAAAGCGGTTTGGTGTATCAGACTCCAAAGTTCATGGCTTCCAGAACTGTTTGCTGGGGGCAAATGGAAGGAAAAGGGCTAATTGCGGCTTCAGAGATAAAAGTCGCCCAGACGCTCCGCTTTTAAACTCAGGGTAATAAAAGATAAAGGCAACGTGGGTGTCTTTGCTCTCTCTCTCTCTCTCTCTGTCTGTCTGTCTGTGTTTTTTTTAAGGTAAAGAGAAAGAAAGGCTGTATCCACACATCAGAAATAATCTGGATTGGCACCACTTTAACTGCCAGAGTTCTGGTGCCACAACGGACTACAGCTCCCAGCATCCCACAGCACTGCGTTAAAGTGGTGTCAAACTGGATTATTTCTGCCCAGCGGATGCAGCCAAAGGAAGACAAGAGGGAAAGGACCCCAATATTTCCCCAACAGACACAATTTAGCACAGCGGTGGTAAATTCACGAAGAATTCAGAATACATTAAAAAATGGCCCGAGACGCAACTGACTTTTTCTTCTTTTGGAGACAAAGAAAGTATATCTGAAAGCCAGCCAGAAAGACAGGTTTCAGAAGCCACATTCCTCCATGCATGGTTTGCCTTCAAAAGAAATATCTACATATTATTACCATTAAAATTGGAGGAGAAAGGTCAGAGGCAGCCATTGGAAAGCAGGGGCCCAATCCAATCCGAATAAACGCCAACAGGAACGCATTGGGAGGAAAGGAAAGGACATAGCCATGATCTTAACTTTGATTTCTCTCCACTCTTTATCTACTACGTTTGGGTAGGTACATGTCTCCATGCAAAAATGGAAAGTTCTGAATAAAGGGAAAACTTAAAAATGGTGCGCCGCAATGCTATATCAAGCTGGGTCCCAATCTTCCAAAACAAATTGTTGTGAAAACAGACAAACAACCGAGTTGGGAAACATTTCTCAACGCAACTAGGAAAGCGCAAGCACTGGAGACGCAACACAAACAGGGCAATAAATTGCTGTTGGAAACTGACAAGCGGCAGGTAAACCAGCTAGCTAGAAATTCCTCGACTGGAAGACAGGTTGCAGAACGTATAAAGAATTCGCCTCTAGATGGAAAAGAACATCGGAGAGGCCTTTGGAAATGAGGGAGGAACGTGAAACGTTGGTTCAGTGACAATGAATTTAATCTGGAATGGAAATGAAACATGGATTGGGTCCTAATGCATCTTACCCAGGTGCCAACTAGCAACTGGGTCCAACTTGGGAGGCATCGTCCCAAAAAGTTGACTTTGCAAGCCACAAACCCACTCCCTCCAAGTAGTAAATTCTAGCAGAGCAAGCCGAAAAAGCTGAGCCTCGTTGTGGCTGTTTCCTTTCCCATTCACTTGTTCCTGAGGGATGCATTTCTTTTTATATACAGACAAAAGCTCCAGAGAAACCACTTTATCCCGTTTATTTTAATCTTGTGGTCGTGTGCCTTCAAGTCCTTTCCAAATTACGGCAACCGTATCATGGCGTTTTCTGGGGCTGAGATTGTGTGACTTGCCCCAGGCTATCCAATAGGTTTCCACGGCTGGGCGGGGAATTTTAATTACTTTTCATTCTTAATTCTACATCTGCACAATATTAATATTCACAAAAAAGAGCCCAAGAATGCTATCTGATATTATGAGGCACTCAAAAAGTAGTAGTATGTTGCCAAGCATTATTTCTTAAAATACGGCAATCGTAGCCTAATAATGGAACAATATTTAAAGCCTGATCAAAAGCAACAATATGATGCCGGTCAAAAAAAAAAAGGGGGGGGGAAGAGAGATTGAGTATCCACTTGGGAAAGATTAGAATCGGTTTTACAACGGAGGGTATAATTAACAAATAAATGGCAGCAGAGGAGGAGGAGGAGGAGGAACAAGATAAAAAGGTCTGGAAAGATTTGATTACACCGAACGAACGAATGAAGGGCTCCATCTACCCACCTAGAAATGTTTTCAGCTTCTCTTTCAATTTGTTTAATCCACTTAATGGTCTCCTCCCAAGTGTGCTTAAATTTAGCAGCTGCTACCTCATTCTATCATATATATATGCAAAGAGAGAGAGAGAACTGTTTGAAGTATGTATGACCAAATTCCCTATTTATTTTTCAATTTTCTGACTGCAAAAAAAAATTGCCTCCTGTGAATCATTTTCAGACCTTGGGTTTCAACGTTTTCTATCGCTGAAGTTGCCGAAATGCAGTTGATAACATTCCAGGAAAAGTACAGTAATACAACGGAGATGGAGGAGACGAAAAGAAGGGGAGAGAGGGAAATAATAATAATAATAATAATAATAATAATAAACCACGGAAAAATAGCTTGCCATAGAGCAAGCCTCAGAAAAGGAATCCAGGTGGGCTTGGGTTCTTTTTATTCCTTTGCTTCTCTCTTTTTCCTGGTTAAATTAAATGAAATTGACCAAGAGGGACTTAAGTGAGATTAACAAAGAGGCAGAACTTAATAAACCTGGAGGAAAGAAATCTTCTTAAACCGCTGGTGGAAAAATGGTGACGGTTGGCCCAATAGGTGCAACATTTAAAGGTGTTTTCCCCCTTTTCTGTCTCTCTGTCACTAAGCCTTCCTATCTCCTAATTTTTCAAAAATAAGAATGCTTATCAACCGTATCAGATTGGTTAAGGACCTCTTTTGCAGCAAAGAAGGACTCTTCTGTTACTCTTACTGCCGACGCTGCAAATTGGTTCTAGTTCATTTGCAAACAGTAGAAAGAGACCGGACTGCATTTTGCAAAACACACACATCCGAGGTCCAGGCAAAGGATGTCCAGCTAGAAGCAATGGCCAGTGCTAGCCATTTGGGCTTGTCCAGCGGCATGAGAACTGGCCTGACCTGTTTCTCTTTCGATAAATAAAGACGCAATAGCG